TTTTCAAATGGAAGATGGGGGAGGGGAGGTCAGGTCCATTAGACTTGTTCATACCAACATAAGAGACCAGATTTCTTGTTAGGAGGCCCGGCTTAGCTCCCTGACCTTGGATGACAGTGGATAAAATAGAGTAACCGCCCGGAAGACATTGGTTTTCACAAACCCTTTTGAGGGCATGTGCACATACAGTGTATATTTGTGTGTAGAATAAATGCCACAAGTGTTACTACTATGTGGACAGAGTGGTCGTGGGTCACCTTTATTTAATTGGATTCTTCTAAATTTCTAAATGTGCTATGAATGCCTTCATTCCCAGGAAGACATTATTTAAATTAATGCACAAATGCTAAATTAGTAATACGTTTAAACAAACATCATAAACCAGTGGTGGGAGGAAATGATGTGGCTACATGAAGTAGCCCCGGGCGCAGGGACTCCTCACAGCCTCCAGATGACACCAGTGTACATTCTTGATGAGGTCAGTAGTTAAATGAAACTTTTTTTTTTCAAATTTAGAAGAAAAAAATAATTTCCTCCTTAGCTAGACTTCAGACTGGGGAAAACATTTAAAATCCCAAAGCAATGGAATAAATCACAAAGGAAAAGGTAGATTGGCTACATAAAAATCAGGTTACGCAGGACTTGACCATGTGAAAAGGTGGTGTGTGAGCTCGCTAGAGCATCAAATACAAATAAGGCGCCTTCCCCACCTTCGGGGCCAACCTGTGATGCGGAGATGACTGCGCAAAGGGGTCCCCAACGAGGTGCCTGGGGGCCTGCGGTGCTGTGGAAGCTGGGGGGAGGGGTGCTGCCAAGTCTGCTGAGCCTCGTGTCCGCCAGGTGCCTCTCGGATGCCAGCAGCAGGGCTCCCCTCATTCCTGGTCCTGTCTCCCACTGGACCTGGTGCTATTTACCTTGGCTGTCACTGGGTAAATATTTTTACAGAGCTGAAGGCCCTGGAGGAAGTTGTACTGGAGCAAGTGGCCAAAGGGCCCTGTGAAGGAAAGGTGTTTGGGCTTCGTACCCTGAGAGCTGAGAAGTCAGCCACCAGGATTTCAGCAATAAAATCCAAGCTTTGGGGCTACAGTGACAAGCCTGAGAACTGGGAAGTTGCCCCATAAATAACAGGAAGTTGCTGCAGGTTTGTTTCTGGGCCAAGATGCTCTTTGCGTTGTGGACAGTACACAAAGCGTCTCATGGTTACCAAACGCCTCGGCTGCTTACTGCCACCCGCAATTACGGTTCCAAAACGAGGGAAATCTCAC